GTTATTTTATTTTACAGTGTCTCAGACAACTGTGTTTGGTAGGATTTGTTAAATTGTGATTCATTGGTAGCAATTTGACATGAAAATTAGAATAAATCCTTCCATAACATAAGTGAGACAACTGAAGACTGCAATATCCAGGAAATACAAGAGAAAGGACAATTCTGTTTAGACTTTGTATTAAATCATATGCTGCAACTATTTTTGAGAATGCTACATGCATTTCATTAAGACATAATGTTAACCTTAATATTGCAAATGAATTGCGGCTACTAAAGTGCTGCTGCATTTAAACGGTCACACTTTGGCATGTCATTTTGAATAAGAATTTTAGCGATTTTTGCAATTGCAACAGTGGCATAGAATGCTACAAATTGTGAATAAAAATTCACAAATTGCCCCAGATATTAAATAAAGTTTATGTAGCACATTATAGTGGTTTTTATAAAACACATTTTTAGATATTTTTGTCAACTGTTTTATAGGATTCATGCAGTATGTAGTGTCCCCCCTATTTAAAGAATGGATGTCTTTCCTGCCTAGTGATCTCAGCAAGTGCATGTATGATAACATACACGAGAATAAAACGAAATGGGAGCAAATTATTAATGAGAGCAATAACAAGGGTGAGAATCATAGTAATGTTGATCCCCCTGTAGAGGCTGACAGACCTATAGAGCCAGCATCACAGTGCCATACAATCCCAGAGGATGAACTATTAGAGGCAGATGTAATACAATATATAACTCAGTCAATGATGCGTCGTCACAGCCTTCCACCTGTTGTGCCAAGATGGGAGCCCACTAGTACTAGTTATTTAAACAGACGACGCCAAAGTTGTCCATATAGCTCTACTGAATACTCACCTGACCTGTCTCAGGTCAATAGACTATCGCGGAGTCGCTCCCCTAGTTCATGCACCTCCAGCCCTCTACCTCGTATCTCCACACTCAGTCCTAGTTTCGATACAAGTCTGTTGTTAGCCACCACTGAAACAACAGAGGGTAGGACCGATAGCGGTGAAAGACAATTACCAATGTCTTTCAGTTCACTTGCTCCAAATGTAGACAGTCTTACTCACAAACATAATAAATCAAAAACATTTCATCACACAAATGCAGATGGTTTATTGAATGAAGACATTTTACGCTCACACTTCGCTGGACATTCCATTCCTTTGCTATTTAAAGTACCAGGAGATGTTGATTTAGAGGGGGGATTCCTAGGAGGGGGCTTTCCCAACCATAAAAGGCCAAGAAGTATGAGTGTTGAATATGCTCAGAATAATTCCACAAACAAAGAGGTGCCAATTACTCGTAGATCATTCTCAGGTGAGGGAAATCATTCATTACTTATTTATTTATTAGTGAGGAAAATGTTTTTCAAAATTATTATATTAACTTAATTTTATTTTAACTTAATCGTCATAATGTTGTATTGATTTATCTCCCAATAGTCAGACCATGTAACATAATGTTGATTTAATTAAGAGCAGGGCCTGATTCAATTTTTGAATGGCTCAAGAATATCAACCGATCAGAATAAAAAAATATCTTACTAGTGAAACTGAGAAATCAGACCTTGAAAGTTAAAGTGGCAGTTTGAAAGTTTTGTCATATAAATCTGTTGAGTAAGTAAGTTATCTGAAATATTTGAAGATTTTCTAGAAACAGTATATGACTATGAGCATATTGACATATTGAAAATTCAACCCCAATATGAAAATCTTGAAAGTCCTCTTTTGTAACTAACTTACATAGTGTTTATCCAAACCCTGGAGCAAAAAATGCCATTCTATGACCTTAGTTTGCTCAACTATTTTTATGCTTTGTTGGTGTTGATTAACCTGACGTCACTAATAGATAAAGTAATTATTTCCAATTATCATGCCTTTCAGGGGATTCATCATTACTTCATGCTGAGGTTTCTTTGTTTTCAATGCTCGGGTCACTGGACCATGAGCTTACTGCCCAGACACATGGACTTGCTGCCCAGACACATGGACTTGCTGCCCAGACACATGGACTAACAAATGCAACACTGAGTAAACTCAAAACACAGCTTAACATTCCAAAATATGGAGATATAGTGACAACAGATAATTTGTGATAGCAGGATTTGTAAATGTCAAAATATGATTGCATTGCAAGAGTGTAATAACTACAATGTATGTATAAAACTGGAGCAACTGTATGTCAACAAAAGGCGGATTGTGTGTATTGTGGTTTTCTTATTTATGTATAACACTGTGTCACACGTGCATGTCAATTAGGAGTGCATTGGGAAAGTCTGTGCCAATGTATAACACTGTGTCTCAAGTGAATGTCAATTTAGGAGTATATCAGGAAAGTCTGAGACAATGTATGACACTCTGTCACAAGTGCATGTCAATTTAAGAGTCCATTGGGAAAGTACGTGACAATGTATAACACTGTGTCACAAGTGCATTGGGAAAATCTTTGACAATGTATAACACTGTGTCACAAGTGCATGTCAATTTAGGAGTGCATCGGGAAAGTCTGTGACAATGTATGACACTCTGTCACAAGTGCATGCCAATTAAAGAGTCCATTGTGAAAGTATGTGACAATGTTTAACACTGTGTCACAAGTGCATCATGACATAGAAGTGCATTTGGAAAGTCTGACAATGTATAACACTGTGTCACAAGTGCATTGGGAAAATCTTTGACAATGTATAACACTGTCACAAGTGCATGTCAATTTAAGAGTGCACTTGGAAAGTCTGTGACAATGTATAACACTGTGTCACAAGTGCATTGTGACAGTCATAGGAGTGCATTTGGAAAGTCTGTGACAATGTATAACACTGTGTCACAAGTTCATTGTGACATAGGAGTGCATTTGGAAAGTCGGTGACAGTGTATAACACTGTGTCACTAGTGCATTGTGACAGTCATATGAGTGCATTTGGAAAGTCTGTGACAATGTATAACACTGTGTCACAAGTGCATTGTGACATAGGAGTGCATTTGGAAAGTCTGTGACAATGTATAACACTGTGTCACAAGTGAATTGTGACAGTCATAGGAGTGCATTTGGAAAGTCTGACAATGTATAACATTGTGTCACAAGTGCATTTTAACAGAGGTAGGAGTTGGTGCATTTGGAAAGTCTGACAATGTATAACACTCTGATACAAGTGCATTGGGAAAATCTTTGACGTTGTATAACAATGTGTCATAAGTGCATGTCAATTTAGGAGTGCATTGGGAAAATCTGTAAATGCGTAATAACACTGTGTCACAAGTGTATGTTAACGTAAGAGTGCACTGGAAGAGTCTGACAATGTGTCACATGTTATTTCAGTATAGTAGTCAATATAATGCCTGGGGGTTATGGCTCAGTAAGATTGAGATAATTATAAGCTTACACCTGAAATATTTGAGATGTGTATATTGTATTACCATGATTACTGTCAGTATTACACTAGGCTATTGCAAGTGTTATTAATAGCATTACGCATTCCTTTTTGTTGTCTCAAGTAATCCACCATTTGTTTGAATTGTTTTACAATAGCCTATGTTTTTAATGAAAAAGGATGGAAAGCTTTATTAATTAAAAAAGAAATGTCATGTCCCAATTTATGTCTTAAATCTTAACATGAATTTGTTATGCACCATTCAAAGGTTTGCTTAAGACCCCCTTTCATTTGGTAAGGGATGGGAATTTTTACAAAAAATTGTGATATGTTCTAACCTAGTGAGTCACTTTTCCCACCCTGGACGAAACAAAACAATGCAGGCAAATTTCTTAGTTACTGGGCATTTATGTTTCAAAATTCTCCTGGGATAAAGTATTGCCAAAATCCCAAACCCTTGAACAGTATGATCTATGATGCGTCAAATTCCTAACCATCCAGTGTGGGTGTCTCATGCAAATCTATTCAAAATAGAAAAGCTGGATTAGATATCTAAATAAAACATATCATGAATCTCTATCATGAATATGTGTATTGATACCAGCATTGACTAAGAAACTATTATATTAGGATATGAATGTAAAACTTAATTGTGAAAAATGGTGGCATAAACTGTCATTGCACTGTTGCAAGTGCGAGTCCAGACCAAGCATTACACGTACAATGGTACATCAGCTTTCGTATTTTAAAATAAGATATATCTTTACTTGAAACAACTATGCTAGATCAATATTAATATATATAAGTATAAATATTTAATATTCATAAGGAGTTGGTGATTTTAATCACCTAAAGTAAAAGAGCATTTATTCTTCAAGTTGGTAGTGTTTATTTAATCTAAATGTTAGATCAGGATGAAAACGCAATTGAATGAGATTTATTTCACAGATAAAAAGCAAAAGGGTAAAATAGCCGATGCTTCATGAATTTATGAAAATTTGTCATGTGTATGCATTCCATCCTCATAAGCAGGTGTCCAGAATCCGTACCTCCTTCTTCCCCCCTGCTATAACCAATTTGGAAGCGCCCGATTAAACTGAATCAAATGATCTTATTATGCGCAATGACTTATACATGATTTCTGTCGCAGTGTTGCGAGTCAGATCAGATTGCAAGTTCTTAATCAGGGAAATGCTTATTGCAGGGGGTAAAAAGAAAGAATATATTCTGGATTTTGAAGCCCTGTGATCGGAGGATGATGCATTCGAATAACCCTGTATAGGAGGACTATTCATGCTGGTCATGTTTATGATATTCCTGTTTTGAAACTATCCTCAGTCTACCTCTTACCCAATTTGCACCATTAATAGACTAATATTCCTTCTGTTAACTCCTGAAGAAATTGCTTGCCTAGTAAGCGGCATTACAACATGTGCTAATTATTACAGGTCAGAACACCTATTTTTATTAAAATGTACATTCATTTCCTGTGTATTGAAAAATGTTTTTCAGACTTATTTACAGAGAAGGCTTATTTCAAAGTCTATTAAAGGTGCAAGTGCTGTTTATACATTGTTCTGATATTTTGTTGATTTTCAGTATTTTGGGATCAGAGTAAGACTGGGCCCACTTCATATGTCTGTCTCATAATACTTATTACTATGGAACAAAGTTTATTACTTCTGGGACATGCTAAGTTGGTATGTTTCACCAGGGAGTCTTAGGCTATCTCAGATGGTGCTTTCAAGATGCCAATATTGCCTGATCTTTTCACAAATTACTTGATTCCTTGTGGCATCTTGGGGTCCTCAGATGAGACATGACTGCTGTGTATTTACCAAAAACCTTGATGAACCATATCTATAATTCCAATAAAGTGGCAAATGCATATGGATCAGGCTTTAAGTCCAAATCATGAAAGAAAGGGTAAAAGTGATGGTATATACAGGGTGGGCCAAAAATGTTCATTTTTAAAAAATTTTACTATAACTTTTTGATAATGTAGTACATGGATTCCAAATATTTTCTGTTTGGGTTTCAGTAGTTAATTACGGAATCGTTTCCAATTTGAAAAAAGATAACAGACAGTAAGGAGGAATGCAAACTCCCAGTTTCAAAGTAATATCTAATTTTAATATTGCCCTAGATATAGGAACTAGATGGACGTCTTAACAGTCTGAGAGAAACATTATTTAATTTTATGGTGCTTACACTATTGTAATTTATATTTCTTTTAAACATCAGAAGACCAGTAAGGAAGAATGGATAAACTGGTTCTGCAAAGGCCTAAAGAAAATGAAACTAGGCCTACAGTAGGCAAAATTTTGAAAATTGATGAGTCATAAAGACCATTTAATTGAGTGCTCAATAGAGCCCCTTGTCATCCTCTTTATCACAAATGAAATCTCAGACTGTATTAGATGTCAACCTGGTACTGTTATTTCAGGATTATCTCAGCTTAAAATTGTTGATTTGAACATAATTCTGACTACTGTATACATTTATTTTCAATCAAGCCCCTAGTGTTAACCTTACACCCTAAAGATTTATTTGGGGCAGTTTAGGAACAACTGCAGGAGTGATTCAGGCATCTCCGGCAAAAATAATTTTAAAATCCATGTTAGTTACAAGTTATCCTCAAATGAAGATATGAACATTTTTTGGCCCAATCTTATGTCACAATCACTGAATCAGAAAGTGAACAATAAGTTTATCAATGTTCATTATAATTTTAAGGTACAGATTATGTAGAAATAGGAATTTCTATTTTGTATTTAGCAATTTTGGGTATTATTATTACCCCTTAGTTCCAATATTTTGTTTATTATAAATGTTCAGTTTTTATTACTCATTGTTGTTATTTGCTCTAGGTTAGTTTATTTATCTGCTTTATTATGAATGTGAATATGTGTGACTTTTGTATACTTTTCATTGCATTAGAAAATGGTCAAAGCTGAAGAAAATTCAAGAAATGCAGTCTCTCTCAGGTGTAACATATTTCCAGGTCATTTTTTAATACCTGTTATGTTAAACCATATTTTATCCTCATTCTTACTATTGTGAAGCAGAGAAAGACATAGTGGGAGGCTTATTTCCAATATCTGACAGACAACCAAATAAATCTTGTTTCATTTATGAACACTCCCACGACTTTTCATATTTTTCTTTTTGAAAAATTAATGACTTATTCCAATATAAATGTCCTATCAATTATCTCCTTTGACTATTAAGAACAATATTTTTGGTTGAAGTATGCTTTTGTTTTCAGGATTGCAACATAAATATTTGAACATGTCTGATAACAAACTAGAAAGTTCATCATTAATTCCCCATCACATTAGCTAGATTTAATACGTTTCCTCCACATACTCTTTCGAAGCCTCCCCCTAGACATGTAAGAATATGTAAATCATTTTTAGAACCAATCTGAAGAAAATAGAAATTTTGAAATACCCCAAATTAAGCAAATATACCAGACAGCCAGACTGAATCTGTAATCTCCCAGACAGCCAAAGTGAATTGTTTTTACTCTGATACTTTAAGATTGTTAAATTAATATTTATTTATGTCTGTAAAAATTAGGAGGCAACTAAATTGTTGTTTGTAATTGTATACTGACAATCTTTGACCTTCATTTAAATAAAACTACAAATAAAATTAGAAATAAACTACTGCATTTACTGTCATTTAGAATTTTTATCCCTAGTTGATATCTTTAGACCAGAGTGTAACATTAACACAAGACATAAGGTGTGACATGATCACCCAACAAGTGATTGACATAAGCACTGGACCATGGTAACATGCGTACTAGACAAGGGTGTGACTTTAGCACCAGACCAGGGTGATTGCTATATTTGTATGAGATAAAGGTGTGACATAAGCATTATAGCAGGGTGTGACATGCGCACTAGACAAGTGTTTGACACAAGCACTAGACCAGAGTGACATTGAGTACTAAACGAGGGTGTGATTCAATAAACACTACCATTTAGACCAGGTTGTGACATAAGCACAAGACAAGGTGGCAGTGAACGTGGACAATAATGTAGTGTTAGCCTAAATCATATTCTGTTACTGATACAATCTCTTTTGTTACAAATATATCAGTTGCAGGAAAGGAGATGTGATTCATATTTAGTATGCCCAAATCTGACTTTACTGTGGTCTTCAAATATCGGAATCCTGAAAATCTGGAACTTTGCCCAAAGATAGTAAATATTTTAAATTCAGTTGAACACATTTTAAATTATTATAAATTATATTTTTTAAATATTTTTCTTCCACAGAAACTTTCAAAGAATTCAAATTTGTCTACACACATATGTAGAGTTCGTTTATCATTTCTTTACTGAACGTTTTCTGTGTCCTTTGTGTATGTGACAATTTGTTTTCCGGGTGACTTGTGATCTTGAGTTTTGTTGGGTCCCTTGTCTTCTTCATCCGAGTCTGTCTCTAATTCAAATTCGCTATCTGTGTCTCCTGGCATGGATGAAAATGAATAGTCCCCTACTTGGAAATTGTCAAAGTTGTTGTTATTGTTGTTTACTAAAGGATCATACTGAAACATAAAAGCATACTATTTGTTTATAGACTCAAGACGATATTAATTAAATGTCCCAACAAAATAAAACTTTAAAAAGGTTGTGTATCAAGCAATGACAATATTGAGCCTAATTTCAGGGATAGAAACAAAGTCTCAGACTTCATACATGTAGGTTTAGTCATGATAGTAGACTCATAATGATATAGCTCGTGACTAAATGGGATTAGGATAGAACCATGGTCATATTAAGTTTGAATAAGTTTCGATAGGTTTGAACGAGTAAATGGGCAATTGGACACATTGCACATGAAACGTACCTCGATTTCACCTTTTTTACAGGAAACACACACTGCCACATTCCTCCGTCGTCTGAAAACAAGAATATAGACTACTCAGAATTGCATAATATGCCAGTCTTGATTGTTGCGTTTATATATTTGGTGTTTATGTACTGTGTAACTAGGAAGCAACTCGAGTCTGCGATATATTTTTCTGCATTTCGTAACTTTTAATAAAGAAACAATCGTCACAACAATTGTCAACATCTCTAGGCTGAAAAAATGAATATCCTCAACTCACGTGGTACCAACTACACATGGGACGTATCGAAACCACTACGTCCCGAAAAACCGTTAATTTGAATTTTTAAACTTACAAAATCATTTTTTAAAAGATCAAACGGAAATTATGGGCGAGAATGAGAAAAAGACTTGCGAGATAATTCGACTTAGGCCTACAGTTGATATATTTTTGGAAAGGGGCGCGAGTTGTTTGTAGAATGAATTGGCGTAGTTTTTTCATGCATTTCGCTTTTCATCTTAAAAACAGGAATACACTTTAAACGCTTTTTTGACTATAAGATCTGAAGATATAAATGCGATATAACCTAAATGATGAAAGCAACCCAATAAGGTGTATATTAAAGATTAACCTTCTGTTATCTCAAAATCTCCTTGGAACCCCACCATTGAATTAACATGAGAAATTCCTCCAAGAGAATATTCTAGGGATTAAAGAATTGGTGCAGTTTATACAATTTGAGAAATTATTGGCATTCATGAAACCTATTTAAAACAGTATTTATATTATTCGAGACAGATTCCCAGCCCTCTGAAGTTTGAAAAATAAAAATACCTGGGTGTTAATCCATAGATAATCCTTGAAAATGAGAACTTTTTGGGGGATTATACGGAGCAATTTTATATTCAATAAGATGTTTCGCAGCGTATTGTTGTTTTAGATGGAAACATATTAAGCAAAATGCATGAAAAAACTCCCTCGATTCATTCTACAAACAACTCGCGGTCCTTTGCGTGATCTTACAGCAGGGGACCCAAACACCGCTAAAGCGAGAGACCCTGTACAAAAAAGCAATGCACCGACAGAGAGGCATTTTGTTTTGCTTTGTATGGTAGGCTTACAAGTTTTAAGAACCATGAAAACGGTGCAGTGTGAGACTCACAATCCTTGATCTTAAAAACCTGGTAGGTTTAAAGATTCAAATATACCATAGAGCCTCTGGGATTTGCGGGACATAGTCACGCGGTACTAACTTCGACCGTTAATTCCAAGGATTGCAAGTCTCATACTGCACCGTTTTTCTTCAAACTTGTTCCATTCAAAGCAATTGCCTTTCTGTCGGTGCATTGTTTTATTGTAAAACGTCACTCGTTTTAGCAGTTGTTTGGTCCCCAGCTGTGAGAAGCCCTTCAAACAGCTAGGGACCCAAATGCCGCTGAAAGTAGCGACTCTGTGTTAAAGAATATGTACCGACAGAAAGACCTTTTTGTTATGCTTGGAATGGAACAAGTTTGAAGAAAAACGGTGCAGTATGATTATCAAACATCTGGTAGGTCAAAAATTCAAATTAACGGTTGAAGTTAGTACCGCGTGGTAATGGTTTCGATACGTAGGAGGTACGAGTTCTAGAGGTCTGTGTTCGGAGGTTGAGCACTTTTAGGTTTGAATATTATAAGAGAAGACAAAGGTGATCTCTTCGAGGAGTTGTGTGCAATGACGCGATTTTTTCCTGGTATCGCCTTTTGCAATGCATATATAGACTTTGTTTTGTAAGTAAGAACAACTCTTAATCAAAATTTTCAATTTTTTCGATTTTATTTCTATTTTTGCATACTGATACAAACAAACAGAACAAGCTGTGACCATCTTTCAAATGTCGTTTTAAATGAAAAAGGACTCCTGGTATTTTGATCTTAATTTTTACATTTACATCTGGGATTTAATTATTTAACATGCATTAACGTCCAATGTCAATAAACACCGCATCATTTTGATTCAATCAGTGTCTCTGTTTTATAGTAGGCCTAAACGTCATATTAATCACAACATTAACCACCACAGCTGGGCGGCACAATTCAACAAATTGTTCCCATTGTCCGTTCCACTAAAAGAGTCAAGCAACTTTATTTCAATAAGTATTATTGCATGCTCAAATCGAAATTATTTTCCATAACGCATCAGTTTGCGATTGGCATTAACCGTCTGTGGTTTCGCTTTAGGAACCCACACGTATCGTTTGTATGCTGGTAGCCATATCAACATTTTCCCAGTTATTCCTTTTATTTTGTGATAATGCCTGATCTTATGGTGTCTTAAGTTTCGAAGGCGACGACTGTGATGTTTATACCTGTGCCATGGTCTTAGGCCCGACATAAATGGGTTGAAATTAACATGTGCACTACGTTTGCTACGTTGGTTTACCACTGTTTCTAAGTGCCGTGCATTTGCAAAATTGTTAGGATGTGCAGATTCCAACAAATCATCTCCCGAAGCAGCTTGATTAAGTTTAAACACGACATTGGCATAATTCCTTCCACTTACATAACGAATTACAATAGTTGTAAGCATCAAGTAACAAAATGTGTCCATTGTTGTCGATGTCTTTAAGATGTTGTTTTACCTTGTGAAATAATTCAAATGCAATAGGTTTCTTAGTCTACATTGCCTTTTATACAGACCCTTGGGGAATTCAATTATCACATATCTACCAATAGACAAACTCCAGGCGATCACAAAAAAATGGTTGCGATAGGTCCAGTGACAGGTACGATGTCATTGCCCATGAAATAGCGTAAACAAGTTTGGCATATATATCCTGTTTATTAGTACTAGATGCTGTACTTTAATCATAAAGTTATTATTACCTATCAATTATACACAACATGATGAGACCAGCGGCGATCAGTAATCCCGACATTCCTACTGCAATGGCCCCAATTACGCCTGCGCCCATGGAGCCTTCAACACGATGGATATGGGTGATCTCAGCAGGTATTGCCACTGGAGTCTTAGATGATATTGCCTCTACAGGTGTTGTATCTGCAAGAAGCCAATTCAAGTCAATCGTTCACCTTTTCTGGTCAGATCATTGACATTCCTACGTAATTCATAACAAATAATAACACCAACTTTAACTGTCTTGCAACTGCTAAGTTTGTGTCAACCATCAGGCAAGGAGTTGGAATATAGATCAATTGTATTTGTTAGTCTATTGTGCGTACTGTCAAATCATATATTAATCCTTAAGTGGTGCAGGGGGCTATTCTGTTTCCTTTTTTTGTCATTGAATTTTTGACCTGGCTTTTCATAAAACTGAATACTAGTAAAGCATGTTTTCGCAAAAATATAACTTTGGAAGCGCAATTTCTATATCATTCATAAGTATATGTATACAACTGTTGACATACACATTAATAATAGCACAATATAATAAAAGTAAACACAAATTATTGGGAGGTGAATAACATTTCCAATGAGCGGCCGCTCACCCCCCCCCCCCGGCCAGAAATTCTTTCAAAATCATGCATTTTTCACCATTCGCATGATTTTTTTGCCAAAAACTGTCAAAAAGCTCCTCCCTTGGCAAAAGCTCCCCTTGGTAAAACCGCTCCACCAGGAAAATCCTGGATTCGGGCCGGCCAAACCGGTAGTGTAATTCCAATATAGCCTAACCTAAGGTTAAGTTATTCAAAGCATTGCCTACATATACAACAACAGCCATCCTATTTGTTTTTCAATGTTTTTCATGTGAGATAACTTTTAATTTCCATGGGTTAAAATTCTAGGGTTAAGGGTACAGTGTAGGTTACAATACCAGGATATTTCTCATTGACAATGAATCATGTGATTGATGAAGTACCTTTTGTGTTGGTCGTTGTTGGTGACTGCTTTTCAGTGGTTGTTGGAATTTCAGTTTGTTTGAGTATTTCACAGGTAGTCCCAGTCCATCCGGCACGACATACACATTGGAAACCAAGGGACTTACTCTACAAAAAATCATATACATGATATAAACAAGCAAAAGTTCGAAATAAACGACGTTATCTATCACCCGCGGCCGAGTGCTTTAAATTAAAAAGGAACATTGCGTCACTTGACCAATTCGTGAACTTGCACACATTAATGAAGTCATCAATATAAATAATTCAGAATAATTTTACTGAGTTTGTAGATTTCTATGTAAAATACAAAAGTTCGGTACTTACGTTACACCATCCTCCATTTCTACAAGGATTGGTCGCGCAGAAATTTGAAGGTGCAAACTCACAGCGTTGACCTGTAAAACCTTTTTGACACTGACACGTTATTTCGCCACCTGGCCTACTGCTACACTTGCCTCCATTTCGACAGGGGTTTTCCTTGCATAGATCCACAACTAATCCACAGTCCTTTCCATAAAAACCTCTTTGACAAATACAGGTAAATGGTGTGCGTCCTTTACCGTTTAAACAGTGTCCCCCATTCCTACATGGACTGGAATTACAGTGATTCACTTCGTCTTTACAGGTTTTACCTCCATAGTCTCGTGTGCATTTACATTTGAAGGCATTCTCTGTTACAGTGCAGATACCTTTATTGTAACAGGGGTCACTTTTGCATGGGTTCACTTTCTTCTCACAGTGTTTACCTTGGTACAATCCAACACATCGGCATCGATATGACATAAGACCATCTTTGGATTTGTCATTAATACAACTGGCTCCATTCTTACAAACGTTTTCATCGCATGGATTTATAATTGTTTCACAATTTTTGCCCTTGTATTTTCTATCACAAACACACATGTAGCTGTTAAGAAGGTCCACGCACTGACCGTTATTTTTACAGGGGTGGCTGTGGCATTCGTTAACCTCTAATTCACAGTTTTTCCCAGCTAATCCAGGTATGCATTTACATCTGTACTCATTACCGAAACCTGAGCATTTGCCGTCATGTTTACAAGGGTTGGAAACACATGGATTAATACGCTTTTTACATCTCTTGCCGGTCCACCCTGCGGCACAGGTGCATTTTGCAACAACTTTTCCAGCTTCGATGTCATTTCTACAACTCCCTTTATTTCTACATGGAGATTTCTTGCACCGATCAATCTTCTTTTCGCAATTCTTTCCCGTGTATGGCGCCTGGCAGCTACATTTATATCGTCTTTTGGTCTTACCCAAGGCTGAGCATTTGCCATTTTGCTTACAAGGATTAGATGCGCATGGATCAACACGCTTCTTACATGTCTCCCCTATCCAACCTTTAGCGCATGTGCATTTTGCGACAACTTTACCATCTATAATATTGTTTTTACATTTCCCCTTGTTTTTGCAGGGAGATTTCTTGCACCGATCAATCTTCTTTTCGCAATTCCTCCCTGTGTATGGCGCATGGCAGCTGCATTCATATCCTCTTTTATTCTTTAAAAAGCCATGACATTCCCCTCCATTTTTGCATGGTTTCAGAAAACATTTGTTACTTAGTTTCTGGCAGTTGGTGCCATGGTAGCCAAGTCTACAACTGCAAGTATAACCATTCACCTTGTCTCTACATGTTCCACCATTTGCACATGGGTTGCTCCTACATTCATCGATGTTAATCTCACACAATTCCCCCGAATATCCCGGTTTGCATATACATACCGCTTTCTTCCCTATAACCTGACACTTGCCTTTATTTTGACAAGGAGATCGTGTACATGGTGTTGCTCGCTTGCTGCAGAATCTTCCGGCCCATTTAGCGGTACATGTACATTTGAATCCATTCACCAGATCTTCGCAAGTTCCCTTGTGGAGACATGGCATACTCGCGCATTCATTTATGTTGTATTCACAGCTATGTCCTGCATATCCTGCCTTACACTTACACCAGTAGCCATGCACGCTATCTATGCACTTTCCATCATGTTCGCAAGGCAATGTCCTACAATCATTTTCGTTGGTCTGACATTGGTGACCTGTAAATCCTTTAGTACATTCACATTTGAATCCGACATTGGTATTGATACATTTTCCTCCATGGTAGCATTGATTTACTTGACAGTGGTTCTTCGTCAATGAACAAAGTTCACCATAATAACCTTCCTTGCATTCACATCTAAAACTTCTAACGCCATCGATACATTTAGCATTGTTATGACATGGTGAACTTGCACAATCATCCTTGTTCTTAGCGCACGTTCGTCCATAGAATCCCCTTTGACATTTACAAGAAAACCTTCTTCCTTTATGGCCTCTTCGAGAGCATTTTCCATCGTGGTGACATGGTTTTGATATACAAGGGTTATTTGGCTTTTCACAGCGTCTTCCATAATGAGTTTTCGGACACAAGCATCTAAATGAATTGAATTTTGAGATACACGTGCCAGTTTTGCAAGGATGTTTAGCACATCTATCTATTTTATCTTCACAGTGCTTTCCTGTGTACCCAGCTCTACAGCGACATCTTACTCCATTAATCATGTCAATACACTTCGCTCCATTTTGACAAACTGGATTACTCTTGCAGTCATTTATATTTTTCTCACATCTAGAACCAATGAATCCAATCGCACATTTGCATTGATAGCCATTGGTTAAATCTACACACGCTCCATTATTTTTACAAGGGTGGCTGGTACATTCATTCACATCATTTTCACACAATTGTCCGCCGAATCCATTTTGGCAAATACACTGGAATCCATTTTCGATGGCATTACATCGTCCTCCATTCTTACAAGGTGATGATACACATTCGTTAGTTTTTGCCTCGCATCTAACACCCCCATATCCGGGAGGACAATTGCAATGGAAACCATTGAGAAGATCTTTACATTTGCCTCCATTTTGACACGGTGAGCTTTTACATTCATCGTCATCGATTTGGCAGAACTTTCCAGAGAAACCAGGAAGACATCGACATCCAAAATCATTTATCTTGTCGATGCACCGACCGCCATGTTTACAGGGTAATCCAGCACAGTCGTCCACATCAAATTCACACATAAACCCTCGGAAGCCAGGGCGGCACTTGCAAACAAATCCATTTACCATATCTGTGCACTGTCCACCATTCTGGCAAGGTTGACTGGCGCATTCATTGCCTTCATCTTCACATCTACGGCCTACAAATCCGGGCTTGCACTCACAGACGAATTTGTCCACCTCGTCAATACACGTACCACCATTTCTACACGGCATGCTGATACATTCATTAATGTCAACCTCACAATACCTTCCTGTATATCCACTCTTACAGCTACAGGTGAAGCCATTGACAGAGTTCTTGCAATGGCCGGCGTTCTGGCATGGGGAACTCAAACAATTGTTGACCAGTGTTTCACATCTGCCACCTTCAAATCCTGCTTTGCACATGCAATTGTAACCATTAACTTTTTGAACACACCAACCGTTGTTACGACAAGGCATGCTGGCACAGTTATCTGTCACAAGCTCACATCGAGGACCCTCAAATCCTAAAGAAATATAAATGAAGATGTGGTGTTGACATACAATTTGGAGGCCTTTTAGTAATATTTCAAATCATGCGTCTGTCATGTCTGTATTAATCTAAGAAAAAGTTGCTGAAAGTAAAATAATCAGTTTCAAACATGGAAACTACAATGTAGAAAGATCGGATAACAATCAATGACAAGAATGAACAATATATAGTTACCTGGCTTGCACAGACACCGAAAGCCGTCTAGCCTGTCCATGCATTTTGCTCCGTTGATACAGGGTGAGCTCTTACAATGATTGAGACTTCGATTGCACAGTTTACCTCCAAATCCTGCATGGCAGATACAGGCAAAGCCGGTTGATGTTTCAACACAATGGCCGTTACGCTTACAAGGTGAACTATCACATGCACTCTTGTGTTTTACGACCTCAATTTTCACTCGTTTGGGAAGCTGTATTTCTGAAATGAAATGTCCATTTGATTATATAGAGGCGATATAAAAATCTACTTCCAAGCGATGTTCATCGTGTCACAATGCTTGTTATTGATCGGCGTACTGAAAACTGGAATATAAAATAGAAGTGGAAAGGTGACTTCTATTTTGTCCAATAAGTGAAATTAACTGGAATCTTTAAGAAACTAAAATTATGTGCAAATATTGATTCATTTGATTGTGATATTTGTAAAAAACATACTACTACTCATTTCGGAAAATAATACAGTGAAAAATACAAAACACATTATTTGTGTGTAAGGGATACCGGATATGATTATGATAGATTTACGTTGAGTTTTTTTTAACAATTTGATTCATATTATCACTTTTACTATTACTTACAAATGCTATATTGAAATATCTATAATGTTAACAATGTTTTGAAAAATAAAATGTCAAAGTATATATGATAGTCAATTTGTGGAAAATATACAACATTATGTAAATTCTGGTAATGTAAATATACAAGGTGAGAATAAAAGGTAATCCAAACATATGAATGTTGATAACTCACTCATTAAACATGGATGTGAGGTCATATTTGGCACAATTAAACCGTGGTTCATTTTCTTTCATTGTATAAAGTTATTGAATGATCTATCCCTAATGGTCACGATTTTGCTCTAAATGCTGAAACGTGACACACTCACCGGACATAATCGACCAGACTTTTATCTGTGGGGCGTCTATGTAACAGTCTTTGAAACAAGCGATGAGAAGGAAAATTAGAGCCATTACACGAGATGTCTGTGCCCGTGTAATGAACAACTTTGCAAGATACGTTTAAGTTTGCCTCAAGACAATTTACAGCATGTTTCGTAAAATGGCCATAAATTGACCATTTAGGATAAACCAATGAAGCTTGAAAGAATGAAAGGACATTGAACAAGGTTTAGGCCTACTTAAGTGTATGAAATATGACTAGTTTAAACTTACTCACTTCGAGAGCAATGTTAGATTTTGAAACTTATGGCTCTCAAACGGAGAAGTGGACAGCTCATCGATTGTGACCTTTGAAATCGAATTAAGTCGATCAGCGGCCTACTTTTGTTCTCTAACTATACTATACATCATTATCATCCTTCTGTGCAAGTATTGGAGTGCTGAGGTACTTCCTTTTCGATCAAGACTTGTAATTGTTAGTCGAGTGAATGTTTTTACTGCCGAATTCCAATATGGCGTTTTCTGCTCGGACATTTTCGTACATTTCCGGAGGTTGTCCGAACCTTACTAATTCTCAAAATTCATTTCGTTCGTTGCGTATCTCGCTCCTAGCAAACCGCCATATTGGAAATAGGTCTAAAAAACATTCACTCGATGAACAATTTTCAAGTCTTGATCGAACTTAATTCGATTTCAAAGGTCACAATCATTGAGCTGTCCAAATGCTCCGTGGGAAAGCTATTATATCAGAATCCAAATATAGCTTTCGCAGGAAGTAAGTTTAAACCCTAATTGAATGACTGGGTTATTCACATATGTTCAGGATACCTTTTTTTGGATCACCCTGTATATGTACAAAAGTATCTAATCATGGTAAAAGATTTATGATGAAATAAATTTCTATTGAAAGGAAATCATTTTCATATTGGGCTCAGAACAATATATCAGGACAATATTACCTTTCTTGCCTTTCAGTCGTGTTCTCAGAGTCTTCAAGCCAGCGTGTTTTGGTGTTACTTTGACATCTTCAACAGTTTTTCTAACTTTTTGTTTACTTCTTGTCCGTTTCACAGCTATTTTGCCATTTTGTTTTCTACCTCTACGTTTAATAGCCTTTCCTCCTTTTTGTTTCCTGTCTTTTCGTTTGAGAGCATTTTTTCCTTTTTGTTTTCTTTTTCGTTTGACAGACTTTCTCCACTTTTGTTTTCTGGCAGACTTTTGTTTTCTGCTTCTACGTTTGACAGGCGTTCTACCCTTTTGTTTTCCGCCTCTACGTTTGATAACTTTCCGTCCTCTTCGCTTCCCGACTCTTCGTTTGACAGCCTTTCTACCCTTTTGTTTTCTGCCTCTACGTTTGATAGCTTTCCGTCCTCTATGTTTTATTCCTCTTCGTTTGGCAGCCTTTCTACCCTTTTGTTTTCTACCCCTACGTTTGATACCTTTCAGTCCTATTCGTTTTGTTTTTCTTCGTTTGACAGCCTTTCTGCCACTTGGTTTTCTGCCTCTACGTTTGACAGCCTTTCTACCCTTTTGTTTTCCACCTCTACGTTTAATAGCTTTCCGTCCTCTTCGATTCCTGTCTCTTCGTTTGACAGCCTTTCTACCCTTTTGTTTTCTGCCTCTACGTTTGATAGCTTTCTGTCCTCTTCGTTTCCCGCCTCTTCGTTTGATAGCTTTCCGCCCTCCTCGCTTCCTGCCTCTTCGTTTGACAGCCTTTCTACCCCTTGGTTTTCTGCCTTGACGTTTGATAGCTTTCCGTCCTCTTCGTTTACTGCCTCTTCGTCTGACAGCATTTCTACCCCTTGGTTTTCTACCTCTACGTTTGATGGCTTTCTGTCCTCTTCGTTTTCGTCCTTTTCTTTTGACACCCTTTTTACCCCTTGGTTTTCTACCTCTACGTTTGATAGCTTTCCGTCCTTTTTGTTTTCTGCCTTTTTGTTGGACAGCCTTTCTGCCCCTCGGTCTTCTGCCTCTTCGTTTGACAGCCTTTCTGCCCCTTGGTTTTCTGCTTGTTCGTTTGATAGCTTTCCGTCCTTTTCGTTTCCTACCTGTTAGTTTGACAGCCTTTCTGCCCCTTGGTTTTGTGCCTTTTCGTTTAATAGCTTTTCGTTCTCTACGTTTCCTTCCTCTTCGTGTGACAGCCTTTCTGCCCCTTGGTTTTCTGCCTGTACGTTTGATAGCTTTCCATCCTTTTCGTTTCCTACCTTTTAGTTTGACAGCCTTTCTACCCCTTGGTTTTCTGCCTCTACGTTCGATAGCTTTTTGTCCTCTTCGTTTTCTGCCTCTATGTTTTATAGCTTTCCGTCCTCTTCCTCTCCGTTTAATAGCTTTCCGTCCTCTTCCTTTCCTGCCTCTTCGTTTAACAGCCTTTCTACCCTTTGGTTTTCTGCCTCTACTTTTGATAACTTTCCGTCCTCTACGTTTTCTGCCTCCTCGTTTGACGGCCTTGTTAGTCTTTTGTTTTCTATTTCTACGTTTGATAGCTTTCCGTCCTTTTCGTTTCCTCCCCCTTTTTACAGCCTTTTTACCCCTTAGTTTTCTGCCTCTACGTTTTATAGCTTTCCGTCCTCTGCCTCTTCGTTTGATAGCTTTCCGTCCTCTCCCTTTCCTGCCTCTTCGTTTCACAGCCTTTCTACCCCTTGGTTTTCTGCCTCTACGTTTTATAGCTTTCCGTCCTTTTCCTCTTCGTTTAATAGCTTTCCGTCCTCTTCCTTTCCTGCCTCTTCGTTTAACAGCCTTTCTATCCCTTGATTTTCTGCCTCTACTTTTGATAGCTTTCTGGCCTCTTTGTTTTCGGCCTCTTCGTTTGATAACTTTCTGTCCTCTTTGTTTCCTGCCTCTTCGTTTGACAGCCTTATTACCCCTTGGTTTTCTGCCTCTACGTTTTATAGCTTTCTGTCTTCTGCCTCTTCGTTTGATAGGTTTCCGTCCTCTTCCTTTCCTGCCTCTTCGTTTCACAGCCTTTCTACCCCTTGGTTTTCTGCCTCTACGTTTGATGGCTTTCCGTCCTCTTCGTATTCTGCCTCTACGTTTGATAGCTTTCCGTCCTCTTCGTTTTCTGCCGCTTCGTTTGACAGCCTTTCTACCCCTCTGTTTTCTGCCTCTACTTTTGATAACTTTCCGTCCTCTTCGTTTTCTGCCTCCTCGTTTGACGGCCTTTTTACTCTTTTGTTTTCTATTTCTACGTTTGATAGCTTTCCGTCCTTTTTGTTTCCTTCCCCTTTTTACAGCCTTTTTACCCCTTGGTTTTCTGCCTCTACGTTTTATAGCTTTCCGTCCTCTTCCTTTCCTGCCTCTTCGTTTAACAGCCTTTCTAGCCCTTGATTTTCTGCCTCTACTTTTGATAGCTTTCCGTCCTCTTTGTTTCCTGCCTCTTCGTTTGACAGCCTTTTTACCACTTGGTTTTCTACCTCTACGTTTTATAGCTTTCTGTCCTCTACCTCTTCGTTTGATAGCTTTCCGTCCTCTTCCTTTCCTGCCTCTTCGTTTCACAGCCTTTCTACCCCTTGGTTTTCTGCCTCTACGTTTGGTGGCTTTCCGTCCTCTTCGGATTCTGCCTCTACGTTTGATAGCTTTCCGTCCTCTTCGTTTTCTGCCTCTTCGTTTGACAGCCTTTCTACTCCTCTGTTTTCTGCCTCTACGTTTGATAGCTTTCCGTCCTCTTTGTTTCCTGCCTCTTCTTTTCACGGCCTTTCTACCCCTTGGGTTTCTGCCTCTACGTTTGATACCTTTCCGTCCTCTTTGTTTTCTGCCTCTTCGTTTGCTAGCTTTAGGTCCTCTTCGTTCTCCGCCTCTTCGTTTTGCAGCCTTTCTACCCCTTGGTTTTCTGCCTTTACTTTTGATAGCTTTCCGGCCTCTTCGTTTTTGGACTCTTCGTTTGAGAGCTTTCCGTCCTCTTTGTTTCCTGCCTCTTTGTTTGACAACCTTTTTACCCTTTAGTTTTCTGCCTCTACGTTTTATAGCTTTCCGTCCTCTGCCTCTTTGTTTGATAGCTTTCCGTCCTCTTCCTTTCCTGCCTCTTTGTTTCACAGCCTTTCTACTCCTTGGTTTTCTGCCTCTACGTTTTATAGCTTTCCGTCCTCTGCCTCTTTGTTTGATAGCTTTCCGTCCTCTTCGTTTCCTGCCTTTTCGTTTCACAGCCTTTCTACTCCTTGGTTTTCTGCCTCTACGTTTTATAGCTTTCCGTCCTCTGCCTCTTTGTTTGATAGCTTTCCGTCCTCTTCCTTTCCTGCCTCTTTGTTTCACAGCCTTTCTACTCCTTGGTTTTCTGCCTCTACGTTTGATAGCTTTCCGTCCTCTTACTTTCCTGCCTCTTCGTTTCACAGCCTTTCTTCTCCTTGGTTTTCTGCCTCTACGTTTTATAGCTTTCCGTCCTCTGCCTCTTTGTTTGATAGCTTTCCGTCCTCTTCCTTTCCTGCCTCTTTGTTTCACAGCCTTTCTACTCCTTGGTTTTCTGCCTCTACGTTTGATAGCTTTCCGTCCTTTTACTTTTCTGCCTCTACGTTTAAGAACTTTCCGTCCTCTTCGTTTTCTGTCTCTTCGTTTGACAGCCTTTCTGCCCCTAGGTTTTCTGCCTCTACGCTTGATAGCTTTCCGTCCTCTTCGTTTATTGCCTCTACGTTTGACAGCCTTCCTACCCATTGCTTTTCTGCTACGTTTGATAGCTTTCCGTCCTCTTTGCTTTATTTCTTTTCTTTTAATAGCTTTTAGTCCTCTTTGTTTCTTTCCCCTTCGTTTGACAGTCTTTCTTCCCCTTGGATTTTTGCCTCTAGGTTTGATAGCTTTCCCTCTTTTTCCTTTCCTGCCTGGTCGTTTGACAGCATTTCTACTCCTTGGTTTTTTGCCTCTACGTTTGATAGCGTTCCATCCTCTTTGTTTTCTTCCTCTTCGTTTGATAGCTTTACGTTGTCTTTGTTTTCTTCCTCTTCGTTTGACAGCCTTTCTAGCCCCTTGTTTTCTGCCTCTACGTTTGATAGCTTTCTGTACTCTTCGTGTCCTGCCTGTACGTTTGATAGCTTTTTGTCCTATTCGTTTCCTGCCTGTTTGTCTAACAGCTTTTCTACCTCTTGGTTTTCTGCCTCTGCGTTTGATAACTTTCCGACCTCTTCGCTTTCTTCCTCTTCGTTTGACAGCTTTTCTACTCCTTGGGTTTCTGCCTCTACGTTTGATAGCTTTCCGTCCTCTTTGTTTTCTTCTTTTTCGTTTGATAGCCTTTCCTCCCCTTTGTTTTCTGCCTCTACGTTTGATAGCTTTCCGTCCTCTTCGTTTCCTGCCTCTTTGTTTGACAGCTTTCCTACCCTTCGGTTTTCTGCCTCTGCGTTTGATAACTTTCCGTCCTCTTCGTTCCCTGCCTCCTTGTTTGACAGCGTTTCTACTCTTTTGTTTTCTACCTCTATGTTTGATAGCTTTCCGTCCTTTTCGATTCTTGTCTTTTCGTTTGACAGCCTTTCTTCCCCTCGATTTTCTGCCTCGACGTTTGTTAGCTCTCCGTCCTCTTTGTTTCCTGCCTCTTCGTTTGATAGCCTTTCTACCTCTTGGTTTTCTGCCTCTACGTTTGATAGCTTTTCGACCTCTTTGTTTTTTCCTTCTTCGTTCTATAGCCTTCTGTCCTCTACGTTTGACAACCTTTCTATCCTTAGGTTTTCTGTCTCTACGTTTGGCCCTCCCTTTGAAGGCTTTCCGACCTCTTCGTTTCATTCCTCTTCTTTTGACATCCTTTCTCCCCCTTTGTTTTCTGCCTCTACGCTTGATAGCTTTCTGTCCTCTTCCCCTCCTGCCTCTTCGTTTGACAGCCATTCTACCCCTTGGTATTCTGCCTCTACGTTTGATAACTTTCTGTCCTCTTCGTTTTCTGCCTCTTGGTTTGACAGCCTTTCCACCCTTTTGTTTTCTGCTTCCACGTTTGATAATTTTACGTCCTATTTGTTTTCTTCTTTTTCGTTTTACAGCCTTCCCACCTCTTCGTTTGATAGCCTTTCTACCCCTTGGTTTTATGCTTCTACCTTTGATAACTTTCCGTCCTCCTCGTTTTTTCCCTCTTTGTGATATAGCTTTCCGTCCTCTTCGTTTTTTCTCTCTTCGTTTGACAGCCTTTCTACCCTTTTGTTTTCTGCCTCTACGTTTGATAGCTTTCTGTCCTCTTTCTTTTCTTCTTCTTTGTTTGACATCCTTTCTACCCCTTGTTTTTTTGCCTTTACGTTTGTTAGCTTTTCGTCTTATTCCCTTCCTGCCACTTCGTTTGACAGCCTTTCTACTCTTTGTTTTTTTGCCTCTTTGTTTGATAACTTTCCGTCCTCTTCGTTTTCTTCCTCTTTGTGTGACAGCCTTTCCACCCTTTTGTTTTCTGCTTCCGGGTTTGATAGCTTTTTGTCCTCTTTGCTTTCTTCCTTTTCGCTTGACAGCTTTCCTACCCATTTGTTTTCTGCCTCTAAGCTTGATAGCTTTCCGTCCTCTTTGTTTTCTGGCTCCTTGTTTGACAGCCTTTTTACCCTTTTGTTTTCTACCTCTACGTTTGGTTGCCTTCTGTCCTTTTCGTTTCCCGCCTCCTCGTTTGATAGCCTTTCTACCCCTCTGTTTTTTGCCTCTACGTTTGATAGATTTCCGTCCTCTTCGTTTTCTGCCTCTTTGTTTGATTGTTTTCCGTCCTCTCTGTTTCCTGCTTCTTTGTTTGACAGCCTTTCTACCCCTTGGTTTTCTGTCTTTACGTTCCATAGCTTTTTTCCCTCTTCGTTTTCTAACTTTTCGTTCGAAAGCTTTCCGTCTTCTTTGTTTGACAGCCTTTCTACCCATTGGTCTTCTTCCTCTACGTTTGATAGTTTTCCGTCCTATCCGTTTTCTGTCTCTTTGTTTGATAGCTTTCCCTCCTTTTCGTTTTATTCCTTTTCGTTTAATGGCTTTCCGTCCTCTTAGTTTCTGTCCCCTTCGTTTGACAGCCTGTCTTCTCTTTGTTTTTTTGCCAGCATTCCGTCCTTTTCGTTTCCCGCCTCCTCGTTTGACAGCCTTTCTACCATTTGGTTTCCTGCCACCTCGTTTGACAGCCTTTCTACCCTTTGGTTTTCTGCCTCTTTGTTGAATAACTTTCCGTCCTCTTCGTTTTCTTCTTTGTTTTCCTCTTCGTTTGGTAGCTTTCCGAACTCCTCGTTTCATGCCTCTTCTTTTGACAGCCTTTGTACCTTTTTGAGTTTTTGCTTTGCGTTTGATAGCTTTCCGTCCTCTTTGTTTTCTGCCTCTTTGTTTGATAGCCTTTATCCCCCTTGCTTTTCTCCTACGTTTTATAACTTGCTGTCCTCTTTGTTTCCTCCCTTTTCGTTTCACAGCCTTTCTTCCCCTTGGTTTTGTGCCTCTGCGTTTGATAGCTTTCCGTCCTCTTCGTTTCCCACCTCTTCGTTTGACAAACTTTTTACCCCTTGGTTTTCTGCCTCTACGTTTGATAATTTTTCTTTCTCTTCGTTTTCTGCCTCTTCGTTTGGTAGCCTTTCTACCCTTTTGGTTCTTGTCCCTTCGTTTGATTGCTCTTCTTACTCTTACTTTTCCTTTGATTTTTTGTTCATTTCCAGTATTTTTGCCTTTTGAATTTAGGTTTGATAGCTCTTTCGCCAGTTTGAATTCCTCTTTTATGTGTGCCAGATTTTCCTCTTCATTTTCTGATAAATTATCTGCACCTTTATTTTCTGCTCTAAGGTTTAATAGTTTTTTTGCAACTTTGTTTTCTGCATTTTTGTTTGATAGCTTAATTGCCATTTTGTTTTCTGCTCTCTTGTTCAATAGACTTTCTGCCTTTTTATGTTCTTCTAGTAGGTTTAACAGCTTTGCTGCTTCTTGGTTTTCTGCCTCTAGATTTGATAGGGATTTAGTTCTTTTCTGTTCTGTGTTCATGTTTGTTAATTTACCGTCACCTCTGCCGACAATGTTTTTTTCCTTTTGTTTCTTTCTTTCAGGATTGATTCTTTTTCTTCTTTCTTTAAACGGGGGTGGAAAATCCATACCTGGTAAAATCATAAAAGTTCATGTACAGTCATCCCGCCCCACTCTCAACACATCTTACAAACGGAAGTGGACGAGGTGCTTTTGGCGCCAAACTTGTAACTACTCATTTATTCAAACGTTTTGAAAGAAACGTTTTCTTGAAAAATTGCCATTTTTCACAAAATCCATCATATTTCCGAAATCTTGAGTTATATCTTCATGTAATA